TTTTTTCTTTTTTTTTGAGGAAGCTGAAAGGAAGAACCCCCTGTGCTTCACACAATCGAGAACATTCGTTACGACTACAACTCGGAAGGCACCATGTTCCTTACTTCATTCTCGGTTTATACTCGTATCTGCGTATATTCCGCATTTTTCACGATTGTGCGCAAAACACCTTTACATAGATTGTCTTATGCAGCAGTATTTTACTGATTTACTGTTCAATATGATGATGTATCTTTGCAACTAATAATACAATTCACAATTTCAATTAATTAACGACGTTGAAACTGGCAAACAATGCCTATATGATAACGACTATGACTGAATTTTTTTTCACGAATGAAGCGAAAAATTAATGTTGAAGTTTTGAGCAAAAAAAAGTTAAACACTATCGTGTTTTTTCAGCGATCATATTAAATCAGCATATGAGCTTACAGTCATTCGCTAATATTTTCTATTCTCATGATGTTCGATTCGTCATAGTGCTCGAAACAATAAAAAATATTGTCCAGGTTGTACTGACATATTACTTCAGGCCAGGCCGTAAGAATTGTTGCACTGCGCTGCCGCGCACATCGACCGTAATCTATCATTAGCTACGTCCTCGCGACCGCTGATTCGTGTTGCTCACATAAGAAAAATACGACAATGAAATTCACGACAGATGTAATACTTCTCCAAAAGAATAATTATCGCTTAAATTTAAAAATCCTTCACGTGTACACGACACGAATTTCTACATTCCAATGATGTTTCATCTTACGACATATCCGCATAGCATTTCGCTACCAGCGTAAAAACGGACATATTCACTTGACCGCATATTATTAATTAAGAGAGAATTAAATTTCTCTCACCCTTCCTCTCCAATTTGGTGAATTAATCAAGCAATTATGATTTTTAATTCATTTGCAACGAGAACATTTCATAGTCATTAACATTCCCTCTTTTATCAGATAAGTATCAGGTACATTGGTTGCGTGAGAATCATGAGATAAGAAGAAGAAATACGGAGAATGAAAGCATGATAGAGAAAACGAGAGAAAAGAAAATGAATAATCGCTCAATTAGTTCGCTGGCGGTGTTTACTATTGGCACGATCAAGTGACAATATTCAAACGCAACTATGACTTTTGACGGTAATCCATCCGGAAAATGTCCAAGTTATTACGTTTTTATAAGCACAAATTTATCGTCTCGTCTTGAATATCTTTAACATACAGATTTTCTTTCGAACGGTTAGTATAAATCAATTCACTATTTTATTCGCGATATAAATTTTCAACTACGTTCTTTGTAATTTATGAATATCATTTAATGATATAAGCTCTTATTCTCGTTTTCTCGTTAAACAGAAACTCGTAAAGCATTGAATGTGTTTTGACCGAAATATGGAAATTGGAAATAAAAGAGAAGAAAGAGAGCAAATTTATTATTCCTATTTCTTATTTTATCGGTTTACATTCCATTCATTTACTTATCAGATTGGATATACATCAAGTCGCAGTCAATCTATCCACTCGTCTGCTTCTTTTTATTTTAATTACCAACTATTAACTGAGGATTTCTCTTCCTTCTTTGCTCCTTCCTTGTAACATCGGTGATCAAACTCTCTCACTCTTGTATACTCTCTTCGTTTGAAATGTATACGCTTCCGCTTTGAAGTGAACGATCGGCGATTATAAAACTTTATTGTGAAAGAGAAAACAGGAATTATTACAAACCCAGTATCGTTCCACTGCGTGATTCCCCTTAGACATTATTATTATTCTCAGAGTACGTTGTTAAAGCTCTTAACGAGCTCACTGGCTCGGCTCAGAACTTTCAGTCTCGTTGAATTTATTTGATCATTTGATGAGAAACCGATTCTCGGTTAATCGATCGTTGATCATTTTAAATACAAAGCCATGCCTGTTTCGCCTGTTTCTCTTACCGTAGTTATCATGCATTTATCGGGACACGCGGTAATACGCCAACAGCCTCGACGTGACTGCCTTTGATGCGTAGTTGGAATTCATGGCATTTGATTTGAATTAATGCGCTTTCCAACGCCGTGCCGTCCAATTTCTGTTGCTACTATTCATTGCGTTTTCAAGCATGTTCTCATAGATAAATACATCGTGATAAACTTCAATTAGCAATATCAACCTAGCGATCGTTGTTAATTTATCGTGTTGACACATGCTACGTTATCGCATGCTCTCGATTCATGTAATACTATTTCTTAAATAACTATAATAATAATAATAATAATAATAATAATAATAATAATAATGAAAAATTCCTTCATGTAATACTATTTCTTAAATAACTAAAATAATAATAATAATAATAATAATAATAATAATGAAAAAAGGACAAGAAGTGATAAGAAGGTGGTAACTTATTTGCAATCTTTTTAATTGAATAGAAATACAGTAGATGCGGATTTAGTATGAACTCATACTCACGTAGTTTGGTATGAACTTGTCAGGAAATAACTAGTTTATATAATTGGAGTTCATATAATAGGAATTCTATTATATGTACATAGTGCCGCGACGACACGAACTTAAATTAAATTATCATAAAATGATACATTAATTTTTGCATCGTATATCTTTTACTTTTTTTTTTATACAAATTTTAATTTTATCGAAACTAAGATGAAACTAATTGAAAATATTAGTTGAAATTTCTCACATTCAAAGAAATACAAACAATTTTGATACTCCTTTCGATACTCTTTCGTTAAAAATAAATTTTACGATATTTATTTTATGATATTCCTTTGTAAAAATATTTCACATGTATCTGTTAGAATAAAATACGACTTCCGGCAGGGTTGATGCTACACCGATTTTACAACCCCGCTATATTGCCAAGACTACTATAACAAGCCCTTTAAATTGTAAGACGTGTCTTGTCAGCGGTTCATACAAATCTTTCTCAGGGTATTTTATCTCAAAGACGACATCGCTCACTAGTCACGGAAAATGGCTCTCGCAATCTTTTCCGTGAATGCCGGTTGTGAGTCCACTCGACATTCACAGGATATTAAATGAAAACATTGGACCGTTTTCTAGTTGGCGGAATACCTAATATTTACCAAGAACGATATCGCAAAGGAACCATCAGTGGAAACGGGTTCTTTTCTTTCTTGGTTGCTTGCTTACTCGTTGGCTGGTCAGAGTGCTTACTTCCACCGAGCCTAACTTATACCCTAGTTAAACGCAAAAACCCCGAGACGAGAAACAGAAGATCTGGAAGGAGGTATGCGCAATCGTATAAGAGTGAGATACGCCTTAAAATAATCTTGCCATTTCGCTGGTACGCGCTACATAATGTCACAGACAGCCACGGTATGCTTGACTCGAGCCGAATAAACCGAGAGATGAGCAGATTTTATCGCTATCAATTTACAATGCGGCTTTCTACAACCATACCACGACAGGTTTTACGACCTCGTTTTTGTGGCCAACTAACACAAAACGGATCTTATCGACCACACCGCCTTTATTTACTCAAATCGAGAGCCAATTTTATAGTTGATACACTACTGCGAGCCAGAATAAACGTTTTTATTCTCGTTGAATTAACGAAACATTCTGCGCCGTTTATTCATTATTATTCATATTTATTTGTTTTCTTTTTATTTCTGTTCGTGATTTTTCTATTTTTGCTTCTACGCTGAAAAGTATTCTTTGAAAATTTTACGAGTAACAGATTAGAACAACTTTGTCCCTATAAACCAAAGATTGAAACAATGTAGAAAAATTCACAGAAATGAATATTTCGATAGTACCAGTTCATTTATTGTCACTTTTTTGAGCATGGCCATTAAAAAGAGAATCGAAATCGAGCTGGCAGACTACCATTACATTTATGGATTGAATATCACGACTCATCACTGACAATCAATCGTCGACAAAATGGTCGACGAGGCTGCATCGATGGACATAAACAAGAAACAGTTACACTGATTTATTAGTACGATATAACGTTTCATTGTTGTTTCACGTTGTATCATTAATGGAAGACAATTATTTGATAAAGTGTCCCGTTACAATTGATGCAACCATGACATTCTGGCTGCTCGCGGTACCATGGGAATCACAGCTAAACGAAACATTCAATTCGTCAATTTAAATCTTAATGATCCCGATGAATTGTTCAGAACCGGGTTTTCATACAGAACAAAATGTTTCTTTGATTATATTTCGTTAATTATTTTCGCACTAGGTACGGAACGAAGTATATGCTGAGATTTCCGGTATTCACACGCAAGGCCTTGCCCGTAAGTCGAGTGGCTCAGAGAAGATTATCAGTGTTAACGATGCCATTCCGATGGTGAGGTCGTATACGTCGGTACGTATACGTCAAGCCTACGCGACTAAAGCACCGTTAGTGCGTATGTTGGCATGTACGCGTACGGTTACATGTAATTAAATCGACGTCGGGTCCACCCCACACGCTCTTACCCGTTTATTAATTAACGCGTTACGTAGGAAATTATTACCATGCGATAAAACCCGTCTGGGATATAACAACTATATCACGATGTTTTATTCGTTGATTATTTTCATTTATCCTCGATCGTGAAAATAATTAATTGCGAACATTATTCAATCAATATCCAATGTATTTCGAATATAAGTTTATCACAATTAGCGCCGACAATTTTTACCGGATTTCGAAATTAAGTCGAAAATTTTATCGATCAGTCGATACGAAATTTAGAGAAACTAGTAGGCGCGACTTTCGCAACAATCTAATCCCTTCTCCTTCTTCGACGTTTTGTTGTGACATATCTCAATGGTCGGTGATACAGCTTTTGCCGCACAAAGAGTCACCGAGGACGTAGACTGAAAAGACGCATTGCTGTTGCAAATATCTAAAAGTTTTTCGATCGATTCTGGTACCGTAGATCTAAATCTTCCGCCAAGTGTGCCGGTGCCTGGAAGAATGGCCTTCTGAATTGCCTTCTCCGCCTCTTTTTGCTCGTATTTCATGCACTCGATCTCCTTCCGCAATTGGTATACCTGAATATGAATAACAACATATTTTCTTGCGCAAAAATGTTCTCATCGAATTAATTGACTGATTATTCGAAAGTCCTCACTAGCCAACGAGAATTTTAACTAGCAGAGAAAGAATTCATAGCCAGGAATATTTTATACGGATGAATGTATCATTCACTGGTCATGAATTATCGGTAAAAAGTCAGTGAACCAATCGATCCGTGTGAAAATTATATCCTACTTCGTATTCCAACTTTTGAATTCGATTGCTCTCGCATTTTGGATAACCCCTCGATGACGTTTTACGTTCTCTTCCTGGACACGTTTTCGCTTGAACGCATTTCTTCTCCACTTGTTTAGACGGACATATTACTGATTGAATGCGTTTCGAAGTACAACACGCATCGATTTGCTTGCAAGATCCTTTACGTTCATTCTCTAGACACAACACTTCCTTCTGTTTTTTCGATTTTATTCGAGGACAGAGTACGTTCCGAACATGTTCCCTAATCACTTGTTTTCGTGAGCACGGTGTTACTTGCGAATGCATTGGCATGGCCTCCTCTCAGTTCAATACCGGCAATTCTTTTGATTAAATTTGATACATGATTTCAAAGTTGATGACTTAAAGCTCGGACGCTCATCGCGTGAACGTGTCTCTTGTCGAATATTCGATATCACGTTCTCGAATGTGTCAACGTCGAATAAGTATTTCATTTCTAGAATTTTATATTTATGTATGTAAAATGTTTCTTTCTTCATTTTTTGTTATCTTTTTTTGTCAAATTTTTCACTAATTTTATATGTTAATCCCTTTTTACAATTTCTATGCTCCGTCTTGTTCCTTGACTGCGATACATTCTTAATATTGTTTCCAAGTGGGAAATTTTGTTTCGAGTCGAATTGCATGTTACGATTCAATAAAGGAAATCTGGTAGCAAAACGCGTCGTACCGCTACCAGAACGAGTGTACTCGCACAGACTGTCGCGTTTTAATTTACCATTCTCGGTTTTCATTTAAGATTTCTTTCTCTAGCTGAGCCATGCGTTTATCTTTCTCTGCCATCTTTTTGATCTTTCTTAAATCCTTTTCTATACATCATTCCGTTGACATGGCCGGAAATAATGAAAGAGACTAAGTTGGTGATTAAAATTGTGTTTGATGTTAGTACCGTAATATCGATTACATTCTTCATAACTCTAGTGACGCGAGTATTTAAAAAAGCGAGTGTTTAACAGCAGCAACACTGATTTAAAATGAAGAATGAAGAAAATAAGAAAGCAGAAAATATTTTGTATTTTCAGTTGTTAGTAATCAATGAAACCAAACATTATTGTTATAGCTTCTTGTTAAATTCCATAGTACATTTATTTAAAGAACTAAAACTTCATATAACGGAAAAAGGTGTCGCCATCTGACAACTAGCAAACATATGAAAAATCCCAGCGCGAGGATCGTTTCATTGAAAATGAATTTCTATGCCCTGGACGGATTTCCTATCTGAAAAATAACAAGTTAATACATTTTCTCTTGTAGTTTTCCTTTTCTTTTCTTGATGCCATGACCGTTGAAACTTAAATCTCGTGTATTTTGTAATTACAAAACAAAAATTAATTTAGAATTAAGAGAAATAAGAAGATAAATCAAGGAAATTGATTCAATTATATATGAACGACTGTAAATTACAATAAACTTTATCCATTCACATGTGCATATTCAAACAATGCACAAACTTGAAATCATGTCGCGAAATTTGAAAAATTGGTGGTTGAAACCAGAGAAGAGTTCTATGCTTCACTCGTGCCAACTTTACTATCGATTTTTTAAATTAGATTTCTTGAAACAAGCAAAAACATACTTACCTAACACAGATTATTTAAATTTAAGAATCTATCTTATCTATTGATAATAAACAATTACATCAGTAAATATGCTATCTATCCTGTTCAATATTATATTTAAAAAATAATAAACGGCAAACATATTAATATACTCGCACCATAGTTCTCACACGTATATACCAATGCACAAAGATCTACCTCTAGAGAAGACGTCCTAGGACACCCAACATATAACTTTTATTTACATACTATTTTCTTGAAATTGACTGACGAATTAGCTAGCGACTATTACACGGCATAAAATATAATAAAAAAATAAAAGAATTTTCCATTTTAATTAAATATTCAGAGTCGTGTAAATGTATATCATTTGAAAAAATTATATTTATATTTGCTGTATTATTTTCAGATTGTATCGATAGTATACTTATGAAATATATTAAAAGATTAAATTGTGTTGTGTAACGCAATTGTTAATTAACAAACAATACAAAAACAATGCAAAAGCAATGTAATCCTATAAGCTAATCATATTGTACATACAATATAAAAAATATGTTATACACGATACACTAACTCAAATTAATAAGCTTATAATCTGTAATATGATAACATTGTGATTATAATTGTATAATTTCTCCAACCAAAAGGCACATGAGTGAAATTTTGATCACAGAAACTTGAGAATCTTATTAATTTGAAAAGAAAATTGATAATTTTATAAATATGGATACGTAGGTACTTATTTTATATCTAATCGATTAATATTTTTCGATATTGCATTTCATCATTTTATTTTATTCATCAGTCTTTATTTTTTAATTTATTTCAATCATTTAATAAATTACTGGAAGACACTTAAGTAAAATAAGTTCATCAATAATCAATATATTCAAAAGGAGAAAAAGGAAGAATTCAATGCAAATAATATAAAATCCCATGAGTAATATTGAAATATTGATAAGAATATCTTCAGGTAATTTATTCATCAAAGTACATCTTTGGAAACACTTGATTTTGAAATCTTTCTTTCGCAGAAAATCTTGTATCCGCGTAACGTATCATCATTATGGATAAGACTTATATTATATGCAATACTTACATTCTTCAATATTACTGAAATTATATTGAATATAGAAATCAATATAGATAATAAAGTAGTCCTATATTATCACAAATATAAATCTATAATTATGAGCATTGTGATAATTTTAATTACCACTTTGCAAGTTTTATAGCAATGAAGTCAGAAAGTATTGAGTTTTGTACAATGTTATAATATAATTTATTTATTTATACAGATAGTATATATTCGTATGAATATTTCATCTTTTTGAGTATCTAATCATATTGCATATGTTAACGATACAATTTCGTGATTGTTCTAATCTACAATCAACGAAAGTAAGACAGATAGCTTGTCGCTATTTAGCTTTCTATTTCTTACGACCGAACTGGGACTCCAATAAACTTGGAAAATTCTAACGATTGTTTAGGAAAACGATTACAGGTAACTTACTTTATCTCCGCAGGAAATATTGTAATAAAAAGAGACTCTGATCACAAAGTGGAGAGAGTGATCTTTTGATAAGAGGACTGTGTTTAACTGCTCAGCAGATTAAACCCTCAGGGGTTATCCCAGAACTATCGAATCATCTATCTTATAAAATATCCTATAATGATATAATAGATATCTGTGGTCAATATCACGCTATAATTTTTATATAGAAACACGTTATTACCAACTATCGCATTACGTGAAATTATATACTATTATATTTATATTATACGTAATGTCACGTGTAGTATTCGAAAAGTGTAGACCGACATATTTTCATTGTTTTAAATTAAATCTATTGAAAACAAATATAATCACGTTATGCTGTTCACGTCATTTCACTCATATTGTTACATGTAAAAACAAGGCCACAATTTCACATTGCTCAATATCATCGTCATTTCAATATCATATGAGCACAAAAATGAAAGAACTGTTGGTAGAAAATTTTCACAAGTCAAAATTTTCGCTCCGTCAACCTCTTTCTCTATCTCTCTGCGCGTACACACACGCATATTTTCTATATTATTATATATATTTTTAATTAGATCATGCAAAAATTAAAATTCATCTTTAATCATCCTGAAATGCAATACATGCTTATTATATTTACTAAGATGCTCCGAATATATCCGAAACGATTTATAGGTTTTATTCTGAACCAGAGAAAAAAATGCTGTATGATTTTTTATATCTTTATATTCCCAGTTGGTAAAAATATTGCTAGAAATTCAAGATTAATTAACAAGAAATAATTTATTATTTATTACTAAATAATTTTCAATATATAATGTGATGCAAATATAAATCCATGATATCACGTGCTCTTATACACAACCTGATAATATGTGATTTCACACGTGAACTGGTTGTTAATCACCTATATCAATTCGGTTTCTCAGCAAATGTGGGGTTTAGAAGATCCATAACCAATAATCTTAATATTCAAATGTTATCAAGATTATTTTTTTGAATCTCAAAAAATTTTAGCCATCACTTGTTATTTGTTATAAAGTTACTAACTAAATAAAAGTTGGCTAAATTTTATTACAAAATGATCCATTTTCATCCATCGGGATTTTATCTAGTTCAAATCAATAAGCAAAAAAATTATAAATTCTTTTTTAAAAAGATAGCAGACGTTAAATATTGAAATTTGATGATTTATATGTTTGCTATATGCTTTTGACTGTCATATAATGGCAGCTTTTTGCGAATATCTTGGAAACTAGATCTGATCGCCAATTACACGTACAGGAAAAAGTTGTTTAAAATATTAATTTCTATAACATATTCAAAAATTATTGAAATCGGAGAGGAAATATCTTTTCTACCTCATCTTCCCTAAATTTCATATTTACCTAATTACAACCCAGAGAAGTTATTGTAAAATTCATCATCAAGCACAAATCGTCGAATTGTCGATATCTAGATTATAATTCCAAAACGTATCAGTTTCTGATGAATATGAATATGAAGGAACGGAAAAACTGAAATATAAAATTTTAGTTTCGGGTATTTAGTAGTTTCCGAGATATTAAATAAAAATTTATGGTACAATATATTCTGTCTATGTAGATATGATTAATACAACTATCATTGCTGTAGCAGTCGTCATTGATAAGTTTTCTTATAGCGATATTATGAAGTATGCCATACAAACTCGATTATAACATCGTGGATAAAGCAGTCAGGAAAATATGTGACGTAACTTTAACTTCGTCGGATATATGATATGATTCATTGATTAAAACGAAACGAAATTTTGTAGAAGAAGGGAGACTTCAAATTGGTCTTTATTAGTTTCTAAGATATATATTAATAAAAAAAACTTTGACTACTATCATTTTTGTATTCTATTTTGCCTATACAATTATCTTCGCTGACTTTGTATTAATCAGCATCTTATGATCATTGTCAGCATCATCATTGTGGTAATTATTTTCAATTGCATAGTAAATAATGATGTAATACCAATACCGTCCTCAGTATCTAAGGAATATAGAATATAGGTATATGCTTTTGAATTCCAATATCGATGTATTTTATCAACATTTTACAGACAAATTGGTGGTTGGCAACCGTGAGGCGGTCGGATTAAAAAAAATAAGTCAAGCTGGCACTTAAATATTAAATCTAATTAAATTTTGGTTAAT